TAGAATTTTATACGTTTTAAATATTATTCATACTGCGTTTCCGTCTTGACTCAGTGCAACGGTTTAACCGAATTTTGTATTTTTAGTTCCGAAATGCAAATCAAACTCACGTTTCAGCTATTAGACAATGGAAATTCGCTATATTCCGAAAGGCGTATTGTCCATGTCTAATTGAGCGACGACGTTCCAGCGCCAACTGAGATTGTGTGAGATTTGTATGCTGAGAATACTAATTAACAACAAACCTGATAAGTTATGCTTTCAATGAGTATTAGATGACGTCACTATAACTTGAAGCAGTCATCGGTATTGTTGATATATTAACTTATTTCACATAATAATACCAATTGAATTGATACTATGAATATGAATGAACTTAGGAATAAAAATTTTAATTAAAATAAGTTTGACTTTATATTCAATTTGCAGTATTAAATTCGCAATTATTTCTAAAATTTATTGAAATTAAATAAAATTGATCGAAAAATTATTTTAAAATTTTCCAATTTCTGTTTTTTCACTCCAAAGTCAGCTAGTCATTCATTTAAAATAATTTAAAATTAATTGTTTAGAAAATGCACAATAAAGTCTTATTAGTTAATTTATTTCAGTATTTGTAAAATTGACATTGGAGACGGGGAATCTGAGGCAGAACTCAGTTGTTTTCGTGAAATTATTTTATGAAGGCAAATAAATTATTTAAAAATAATTAAGTTATAAGCGATTGACTTGCTCGTGTAGTTTATTTGCAATAATGAAAAAAAAAGAAAACTATTTGAAATATAAGTAATGGTGTTAGTTATTTTTCCGCTAATAGAACACCCACAATTTGTGGTGTAATTATTTTCTTTAAATTTTTTTTTTCTCTCAAGTGCAGTCACTAAATTTCTGGCTAAAAAAATGAGGTTAAATTGCATTTTTATACACTGCACTTACCTTATGGAGACTGATCTGAGACAGTGATTTATTTTTTTACTCTTAAACAATTAAATAAATAAAACAATTTCATTTTTTTTTTAACTAAACTGACTAATGACTTCAGCTAGTTTCTTAAGTTGTTTGAGTAGGTGTTTTGTTCTGAGGGACTATTAGTTTTTCCCTAAAAACCAGGTCTTTTTTATGAAGTTTTTTTTGAAGTCTGTATAAAGTTTAAGAAGTATTGTTCTATCAAAGATGATTATCTTCAAAGTGGTAAAAAATCAAAAATTTTATTGTTGTTTTTATTATTGGTAACAAAATATATATTATTTTCATATTCGTATTGCCACTTTTAATTTAATCTATAGCAGTGCATGCTCAACTAACACTGAGTGCACACACAATCCTTCGTCCAATTAACCTTTGGACTCATCGCATTGAAGTGACCAGCTTTCTTCACCTGGATTCAGGATAACGGTTCACATATACCTCCTACCCAATTCTTCCCAATCTTTACCCCCCTCCCCCCTTCCTCTCCTCCTTACCCCTCACACTTACCTCCCACTTCCCTACCCATGTATTCGTCTTGTGTTTCCTTTTAACAACAACTAACACTGAGTTAGACCGGCGTAAATAATCCAAAATTTTTTGCATTATAACTGGTGCGCCGTATAAAATGAACGACAAAAATGAATTTCTAAAAATATTTTTCATCAAAGTTAAATTGGTGAAAATAATATATAATAACTAACAAAAATTTGAAGAATACCAAAATCGCTTGGCGAGGTTAGTACTAGTCTTTCTAGTCTTTCTTCATGACCATCCACAAATGATCTTCCAAACCAATGTATTTAGTATGAAAGCATGTAAAATATAATATAACAATATATAATAATTAACTCTAACTCTTGGCCTAGGATGCAGCTACTTCAAGTAAGGTGGAACTTGTTCAGCACCACGGTGTCTGTACTAACGGGACACTGCGGAATAGGAAAGAATGCTATGTAACTGAGTCTACTCTGCAATGACTTTTGTTGAGACTGTGCTTCTAAACATGAGGAGGAGACCGTGTTTCATCTCATTATTTGAGCTCAAGTAGGCTGTGTGAGTACTCTTTTTTAGCTAGAAGAAGATTAAAAATCTTCGGGGCCCCTTTTCTCACCGAACTGATTGAGCTGTTATTATGTAACATTAGGAACCTGATCAAATTTATAAAACTGTCAGGTTGGTTTTCCTTTACCTAATGGTGGTGTACGTATCAATGCTATTTCTGTGGTACCACAATGGGCTATTATTTGAGCTCAAGTAGGCTGTGTGAGTACTCTTTTTTAGCTAGAAGAAATTAAAAATCTTCGGGCCCCTTTTCTCACCGAACTGATTGAGCTGTCATTATGTAATATTAAGAACCTGACCAAATTTATTGAACTGTCAGGTTGTTTTTCCTTTACCTAATGGTGGTGTACGTGTCAATGCTATTTCTGTGGTACCATAATGGGCCATTATTTGAGCTCAAGTAGGCTTTTTGGAAACAAAGCAATTAAAGTATTATACCAATTAAAGTATTTAAGAATTTACTGCATATTAAATTAAATTATATTAAATTTTCCATTTTTTGTTTTTTCATCTATTATATGTTAATTTGAGGCTGCTAAGCTCATATCGGCAACTCGAGAGGAAATATAAAAAATTTTATATGTTTTTTTTCGAAATGGTTGAAGCCGTGTGGCTTCAACTATTTATTTTAAGATTGTCTTTTAAATCAAAACTATAGTTTTCTCGGTTTTCGGTTTTGTTTTTACAGAGTGATTTAAAGAAATATTTAAAAAATTGCACCCTTGGAGGAGGAAAGATTACATTTTGGAGAGGAACGTCTAACGCAGAAATGTTTATTTATTTATCCGTAGCAAGTTTGCTGAAAATACAAATTTCAAATCTCATTGTAGGCTTCAAATTAGCTTAAAATTGTTGAAAAATTAAAAAAATACTATTAAAGACCTCATTTATGTAGCAGAGTGTTATTTATTAATTTTTTTTATAATTGATACATTAAATCAATAAAAATAAAACTTTACTCGATTAGAAGTTTAAACCTGACCCTTAAGATAGATTTTCTATTTAATTAAATTACTTAAAAAAATGGAAGGAACAATGTCTATTCTGTTGTGGAGATCATTTTAATCTTCGACTTAATATTTTTAGTAATTGAGGATGATTTATATTTTTTTCGTTTAAGTATATCGACTTATAAGAAAAAATCTTATCTAAATATGAATATTATTTATATGTTTGAATATTTATTTAATAGATTTTATATTATATAAAAAGAATTACTATCAAAATTTAAAATTGGAAATTTGATTTTACATGAAACTATTTAATATATATTTTATTTCTTTGATTTGTGTTTTGAAACAATATTTATTTGCATATATTATAAAACTACTGGTTGACCATATGGACTACACCGTTCACGCTTAAATAATAGTCAAAATCATAGATTTCACATATTGAAGATTTGCATGGCTAATTGAAAAATTAAATTCTTGGAATTATTTTGAATTTTTTTTATTAATATTTTATATGAATTAATTTTATTCACAATTTTTAAGGCTGAGTTCAATCGATATTAATTTGAGTCTTTCAGTTAAACGCAACTGGTTGTGGTGCTTTGATTTCCAAGAACTCTCAACGCTTGTCTACGAAACTGAAAATCGTGACTTGTTCTTTAGCGGCTGCTGAGAAATGATATATATATATCATTTCTTTTGATATATGCAAAAGTTTAATGTACTTAGTATGAATGAAGTATCAGAAGTAAAATTATGTTTAATATTAAATTTCTTTATCTTTTAGTTTTTGAATGAATGCAATGATAAAATGCTTCATTTACTTTGGCAACACATCGACACATTTTGGTTTCACCGATTTTAGTGCTTTGTTAGTAAAATTAATTATCTAGTTTGATTTTATGTCCACTGCTACATATGGATGCATGTCTGAAGTACTTTCAGTACTGCTGATCACAAGAATATAAAAAACTGCAATATTGAGAAATAGTGACGAATAAGATCATACCTTAAATACATTTATTCAATTAGAATTCAACAAACATTTTTGAACAAATGCAGAGAATTTGGATCTATAAAATATTTTTAGCAGTGTACATACACTGACAAGACTTAACTAAAGAGAAGAGTCTTTTCAAATTAGTCCAGTGGTTTAAACTGCAAAACAAAATTCACTTGATGGTGTACAGAATTATAATGACATAATAAATATTTGCGTTAAATGTAGCTGAGTTATTACTCAAATACTTTATATTAGCAATTCGAGTGCACAAGTGAGTTAAAAGTTCGTATTTAGATATCAAAATCCACTGACAAAACATATAAAATAAACGAGAATAACTTTTTTGAAAAATTTGAAAGAACAACCGACAAGCACAAGGAGACCCGACTGATATTTATCACACATATTATTCGTAGCAAATGCTCCATCATAGTCTAGGTCCAATGTCAACTTTTCCTAGAATTCGTAGCGTTTAATTTCCTAGGAACAATATTAAAACAATTTTAATTGCTTAATATTTTTTTCTAATATTACGGGGTATGAAATTTTGTTTATTAGCTTAAATTAGCATTTGACAAATGAACTAATCACCAATAAATTTGTCTTTCTATGTTATTACAAAATTAATTATAGCGTTTGAGACTCGACCGTTTCGAGATGTGTTAAAGCGCCGAAAGAACTTAAAAACCAGTTGCGTATGTTAATACTTTCCAGCCAAAACTAAAGGCAGAGTGGAACAAGAAGCACACTACGAGATTTTCAAGATTTTATACTATCGATGTAGTATCTTGAAATCATATTATTTAACATGCGAATGGACGCCAAACTGTGGGAAAAGCAACAACACCTCATCCTAATATAGCGCCTCCACAAGAGCTGAGATTCAATTAGAATTTAAATACGTGTGTCATCAATAACCAAACCGTTCCTACTGAAGCTGTTCAGAAAATCACAAAACACACAGAGTGGGGAATTATAAAAACAAACACTTTCAAGTGACTTAAAACTGATTTCTATAAAAGCCCGCGCAGGTTCATTTTAACATCTAAATAAGTGATAAACATGAGAGGGATAACATTAATAGCATTGTTTTCGGTTGGCATTACCTTCTGCAATGGTAAGTTCTTAAAAGAATTATGTACTTCAAATTACTTTAAATAATGCTCATTTAATACAGCATACGGTATTGGCCTGGGTGGTGGTGGTTTCGGTTTCGGTCTAGGAGGACATACAGGTTCAAATGGAGCAGTTGAATCTGGTTCTGGTGGTTTATTAGGTTCATTATCTGGTCAAATAGGAGGCTTAAGTGGTAGTATTGGATCTGGTCATGGGTCAGGTTACAGCAAGGGGTCTGCTGGTATTGGGGCTGGAATTGGAACAGGTTATGGTTCTACATCCGCTGGTTCATCAGGTTCATTATCAGGTAATATTGGTGGCTTAAGTGGAAGTATTGGCGCTGATCATGGATCCGGTAATGGTAAAGGCTCTGCAGGTGTTGGTGCTGGAATTGGAGCAGGTCATAGTTCAGCCTCTAGTGGTTCATCAGGTTCATTATCTGGTAATATTGGTGGCTTAAGTGGAAGTATTGGCGCTGATCACGGATCCGGCAATGGTAAAGGCTCTGCTGGTATTGGTGCTGGAATTGGAGCAGGTCATGGTTCTGGATCAGCTGGTTCATCAGGTTCATTATCTGGTAATATCGGAGGCTTAAGTGGTAGCATTGGATCTGGTCATGGTTCAGGTTACGGCAAAGGCACTGCCAGTGTTGGTGCTGGAATTGGAGCAGGTCATGGTTCAGCCTCTGGTGGTTCATCAGGATCATTAACTGGTCATATTGGTGGCTTAAGTGGAAGTATTGGCGCTGATCACGGATCCGGCAATAGTAAAGGCTCTGCTGGTATTGGTGCTGGAATTGGAGCAGGTCATGGTTCAGCCTCTAGTGGTTCATCAAGTTCATTATCCGGTAATATCGGAGGCTTAAGTGGAAGTATTGAATCTGGTCATGGTTCAGGTTACGGCAAAGGCTCTGCTGGTATTGGTGCTGGAATTGGAGCAGGTCATGGTTTAACCTCTGGTAGTTCATCAGGTTCATTATCTGGTAATATCGGAGGCTTAAGTGGTAGCATTGGATCTGGTCATGGTTCAGGTTACGGCAAAGGCACTGCCAGTGTTGGTGCTGGAATTGGAGCAGGTCATGGTTCAGCCTCTGGTGGTTCATCAGGATCATTAACTGGTCATATTGGTGGCTTAAGTGGAAGTATTGGCGCTGATCACGGATCCGGCAATGGTAAAGGCTCTGCTGGTATTGGTGCTGGAATTGGAGCAGGTCATGGTTCAGCCTCTAGCGGTTCATCAGGTTCATTATCTGGTAATATCGGAGGCTTAAGTGGAAGCATTGGATCTGGTCATGGCTCTGGTAATGGCAAAGGCACTGCTGGTATTGGTGCTGGAAATGGAGCAGGTCATGGTTCAGCCTCTGGTGGTTCATCAGGTTCATTATCTGGTCATATCGGAGGCTTAAGTGGAAGTATTGGATCTGGTCATAGTTCAGGTTACGGCAAAGGCACTGCCAGTGTTGGTGCTGGAATTGGAGCAGGTCACGGTTCATCCTCTGGTGGTTCATCAGGTTCATTGTCTGGTCATATTGGTGGCTTAAGTGGAAGTATTGGTGCTGATCACGGATCTGGTAATGGTAAAGGCTCTGCTGGTATTGGTGCTGGAATTGGAGCAGGTCATGGTTCCGGATCCGCTGGTTCATCAGGTTCATTATCTGGTCATATTGGTGGCTTAAGTGGAAGTATTGGTGCTGATCATGGATCCGGTATTGGCAAAGGCTCTACTGGTATTGGTGCTGGAATTGGAGCAGGTCATGGTTCAGCCTCTAGCGGTTCATCAGGTTCATTATCTGGTAATATCGGAGGCTTAAGTGGAAGCATTGGCGCTAATAATGGCTCTGGTAATGGTAAAGGCACTCCTGGTATTGGTGCTGGAATTGGAGCAGGTCATGGTTCAGCCTCTGGTGGTTCATCAGGATCATTAACTGGTCATATTGGTGGCTTAAGTGGAAGTATTGGCGCTAATCATGGCTCTGGTAATGGTAAAGGCTCTGCAGGTATTGGTGCTGGAATTGGAGAAGGTCATGGTTCAGCCTCTAGTGGTTCATCAGGTTCATTATCAGGTCATATTGGTGGCTTAAGTGGAAGTATTGGCGCTAATCATGGCTCTGGTAATGGCAAAGGCACTGCTGGAATTGGTGCTGGTATTGGAGCAGGTCATGGTTCAGCCTCTAGTGGTTCATCAGGTTCATTATCTGGTAATATCGGAGGCTTAAGTGGAAGTATTGGATCTGGTCATGGTTCAGGTTACGGCAAAGGCACTGCCAGTGTTGGTGCTGGAATTGGAGCAGGTCATGGTTCAGCCTCTGGTAGTTCATCAGGATCATTATCTGGTCATATTGGTGGCTTAAGTGGAAGTATTGGTGCTGATCATGGCTCTGGTAATGATAAAGGCTCTGCTGGTATTGGTGCTGGAATTGGAGCAGGTCATGGTTCTGGATCCGCTGGTTCATCAGGTTCATTATCTGGTCATATTGGTGGCTTAAGTGGAGGTATTGGCGCTGATCATGGATCCGGTAATGGTAAAGGCTCTGCTGGTATTGGTGCTGGAATTGGAGCAGGTCATGGTTCAGCCTCTAGCGGTTCATCAGGTTCATTATCTGGCAATATCGGAGGCTTAAGTGGAAGCATTGGATCTGGTCATGGTTCAGGTTACGGCAAAGGCACTGCCAGTGTTGGTGCTGGAATTGGAGCAGGTCATGGCTCAGCCTCTGGTAGTTCTTCAGGATCATTATCTGGTCATATTGGTGGCTTAAGTGGAAGTATTGGCGCTGATCATAGATCCGGTAATGGTAAAGGCTCTGCTGGTATTGGTGCTGGAATTGGAGCAGGTCATGGTTTAACCTCTGGTAGTTCATCAGGTTCATTATCTGGTCATATTGGTGGCTTAAGTGGAAATATTGGCGCTGATCACGGATCTGGTAATGGTAAAGGCTCTGCTGGTATTGGTGCTGGAATTGGAGCAGGTCATGGTTCAGCCTCTAGTGGTTCATCAGGTTCATTATCTGGCAATATCGGAGGCTTAAGTGGAAGCATTGGATCTGGTCATGGTTCAGGTTACGGCAAAGGCACTGCCAGTGTTGGTGCTGGAATTGGAGCAGGTCATGGTTCAGCCTCTGGTAGTTCATCAGGATCATTATCTGGTCATATTGGTGGCTTAAGTGGAAGTATTGGCGCTGATCACGGATCTGATAATGGTAAAGGCTCTGCTGGTATTGGTGCTGGAATTGGAGCAGGTCATGGTTCAGGCTCTGGTGGTTCATCAGGTTCATTATCTGGTCATATTGGTGGCTTAAGTGGAAGTATTGGTGCTGATCATGGATCCGGTAATGATAAAGGCTCTGCTGGTATTGGTGCTGGAATTGGAGGTGGTTATGGATCGGCATCAGAAAGCTCTTCAGGATTGTTGTCTGGTCATGTTGGCGGCTTAAGTGGAAGTAGTGGTTCTGGTTATGGTTCTTCTTATCTTGGTGGCGGAAGTAAAGCTACTTCATCGGGTTATCATTCTGGTGGCTTGAGCGGTAGTATTGGAGGACTTGGGGGACATATTGGAGGCTCCTCTGGATTGGGATTGTTTGGCTAAAGAAAATGCTTATAGCATATCGGACTTACCCTAGTTAGGAACTAACTGCTAAATAACTTGTAATAATTTTGTGATACATGATTAATATATCTTTTTTACTTAAATTGTTTGTATGTATATATTTTGTCTCTGCTTACTTTTTCTTCTATTTTTTTGCTTGTTGTTTCATTTGCTGTTGTGTTTTAACTTCACATATTTGGACTTACCATATATCAAAGTAAGTCTACGTTTTGGGACTCATTTTCTCATATAATCAAATTCTATTTTATTGGATTATATTTTTGAGACTTACGATTGAAAATAGTAGTTTTGTTGGTTATGCAGCTATGGGAAACGCATCAGTGATGAGACATTGCTGAAGGAACGTTTATATATTTTCGTATTATATATATTACATTTGGATCTTAGCATATTTTATTCAAATCTCTTGCACAGAATTATCAATTTGATCGTTCCGGAAATAAACGTAAATAAAATACACAAAAATTAAATTTTGATTAAGACTTTAGACTTGAAAATATTGTTGCATAATGGCTGTAAATATAAAATTAAACATTATTTAAATATTATGCAGAGAATATCTTAAAATACTAGATTATACTGAGATAATTTTCGATGATATACCGGCTCATAGTTGGCAATATCGTGGTTCGGCCATTACTTGATGGATACGCGTTTGCATACAAAGATGTTGTTCTGCGCAATCGATCGATGTTTTTGGTGACTAAGCCGAAAAAGATTGCTTATCGTACTGATTTAGCAAACACAGAAATTAAAATTGGCTGTTTGTGTCACGCTTTTGTCATTTTCAAAGAAGTGATTAAAGGTCTTTTACACCAGACTGTATGCCATCCTTGCAATAATACTTTCTGCTTGAAATAGTCTTTCTCCAGTTACTTCTAGATTTTCACTGTCCCAGATACCGGATGTAACAGTTTTGTTTGTTAATATATTTACCAAACCAAATAGTACTGCATTATTTTAGTAACATAAATAGTTTCACGATTTTGGAATTGTTTAAAAAGCATTTCTTCTAGGCTAGAAGGTTTGTCGATTTCAGACATTGCAAAATTTCTGGCTAAGTGTTTGCACTAATAATTCATAAGCTCTTCACGATTTTCTATTGTCTCTATTTTTGATGAATAGCACTTATCATCAGAACTCGGTCCAGATAAAAGATCTCAAACATATCTCCACACTATTGCAGAAAACAATCCTGGGTGGTTGGTGAACTTCGACTGATCTTGCAGAACTTCGATGTTGGGAAAGAAATCTTTACAGTCTATATTCCTGCGAACGCTTAAGATAACTAAAAACTAATTACAAACTGATATAACTGACACATGTACAATAAGTATGATACTTTGTACATGTGAAGTACATTAGCAATTAATTCTCTTTCAATCGAATATAATATCAATATAATCGATATTAATGATGTTGGTAAAATTTTAATGACTAATGATTTTTAACTTTGGTTACTTATAAGTGACATTGGTTAGTGGCTATATCCAACAGAATTCTTAAGACTACTTATAATTTTTTTCTTCTTTGCTCTACAACTACAAACCTTCGAAGCTTCAAGGAAATGTTATTGGGCTCTTTATTATAAATATATCGAGTGGGTTACTTACTGTAGACTGACACACTGATTACTTTAAATGTATCTTTTATATTATATGTTATTTTAGCTCAATATATTCTAGTAGTATTCCTTATATTCGAACACATGCCTTATACACAGTATGTACCTACAAATTCGCTAAATATGTGTGTGTTGTTATCACTTATCAGTATTATTTTTGTATATAGCTTGTTTTATATTAATACATAGAGGATACGATAATTTTAAATTCTATAAACTCAAATTGTCCATTCGTAAACATAACAGTTGTTTATTTTTCCAACAGTAAGTCCAATTAAATTACATTGAAATTATATATTATATAATATATATTATATTGAAGTCAAACACGATGAATAGATAGAGTTAAATATGAATTCGATCATATATATATATATATATCAGTAAATTAATTTATTTGCTTTCTATTATAATTATGAAAAGTAACCCAAACTTTTCAGATTTTTAGTGATTATAATAAGTAATATATGTAATATAAGTATAGGTAGAAGTAGAAATAGAGTCGGAATATTTTACCCATCATTGTACACCTCCTTGGGCTCACTACTTGTTTCATTAGGGACCTCAACTTAGATATATTATCATTGTTCTCTTAATATATAACATATATGTTATAAAAAATATTAAAGGATTTTTATAAAGATGAACTTAAGATTTTTATTTATTTGGCTGCTTGTCGTTCTATGATTATAGTATAGTATATATCTTATATCGGTCTACAATAGTTTTGATTTTATCTATAATACTTGATTTTAATACAAGTTTGATAATCTTTCCCTATGAATCTCCAACAAATTGTGTTATGTATAGTTCATAATCAAAATATTTTGTATCATATGTCGAGGCTCTGATCTGTAACTCTTAGATGTAAATTATAAGTTTCCTACCTGCACTTATTTTCAGATTCTAAACAATAACTCCATGATTTGAAATATAAAGTTTCGTGTTCTTTCGAAGAGGTAGTAAGAGGTACTTAATATAATTAGTTTAACTATGAAGTAGCATTAGGTTATCAATGTCTGTGTTA